GTCTGAATAGGTACTTATTTAATGTCAGAATCACCTTTCTGACATGTAATCAATTATAAAAGAAGGACATTCAAACCTAACGTCGTGCTTAGAAATAAGTGTATTTGGTAAGCAAAAATATACGTTCAAAATTCTTGTAGGGTAAATTCAATCAAACCCTTTACTCTACTACAATATTGGTTTCATATCAAGAAAAATTCACTTTCAATTATATCAATGAATAGAGCTTCGCATAATGCGAGGATTTCACGTCTAAGTTTCATCTGGCATAGTCTGGTAGTGAGGAAACCGCGATAAATGCAGAGTTGGATGGTTTGTCTCATTCTTTTTTTGAATACATGGAAAATTATAAAGTTAAGAGACAGTTTGGATTTCTTCTCTTAAACATTATTGTAACGTTATGCTCGGGATAACAATGTTATTTTAGATCATGGGAAAAACTTCAACGCTTTCTTCTGCTTCGGATCCTCTATGTGTTCAGCGATTACCCACCACTCGCAATGTTCCACGGATCCTCTATCTGCACAGCGAACTACGCACTACTTGCAATATTCCACTGAAGGGCCCCACTAGTGCAATCACGTAAGATCAGCAAAGTCAAACCATTCAGAGGTGGTCCGACTTTTTCTCACTCGTATGCGTATTCTCCTCTCAAAGTAGTCTAATGCTCGATCCTCTTAGCGTAAGAGTGTTACACAGAATGAGGATAGAAGAGCGTCGCGGTTTATCCAACCTCTCGACTCTGGACGGCTTTTGATCGGGTTGGCGGCCTTAGCATGAAGGACGGTGAGCACCTCAGTCAACAGAGTGCTCATGGAGGAGTCCTCCGAGTGATTGCAAGAGCAACGCGTTCCGGGAATCTTGCCAAACATAACACACATAGCACATAACCGTGCGCAGCAGAACACGGGAAAGAAATATAATGTTGGTGGTTTGTTATTTGCTTGAAAAACCAGCGGTTGTAGTTTCTCGGAAGCGGATACCATGAGAAGAACAAAAAAATATCAAACAAGTATGCTTTTGGAATTCAAAATAAATTCCTAAGGTGTACAGTACAGCGCTGAGCTGCCATGCACTCATTCTACGTTTTCCTGGAAAGATTTCGCATTGATGAAAATCATTTGCCCGATGGGTTAAATGACCGATGTGCTTTGCGCTAGTCACTGTCGTGCGGGCGTCCACTTCTAAGAAAATGTTGACTCATATGGCTAAAATGACGCAGAATAACCTCACGCAAAGACTCTCAATCGCCTACGCTCCAGATCTCTGCAACTTCGCGTTTTGCTTCCTGAGACTGTTTTTAGTTACGAGTTCCGTCTCTACTCCCTAGCCACTGTTAAGTACTCTACCTGGATTTTGCCGTGACTCTCATTTAAATGTAACACACCCATTAGAAATCTGAATTCCTGCTATAAGCTTTTTTAGTATGCCTGTGCGGAAAAAATCATTTCCAAGGTGAATAGGGTGAAGCGTAGACAAACTATGAGTCACTTCGCGGAAGTTGCGAATGTGCGTAACCTTACTACTTCCACCCGACCATTTTTGTCCCATGTCTACATTTTGGCGTCATTAACTTCTAGAGAG